TTAAACACCCCCACCAGCAAGGCGTGGAAATTTAGGACCCCCAGCGGGGCGCGGGTTATGGCAGTAAAGTTCAGTGACAGTCAGATGACCGATTTTGAGACCCAGCCATCTACATCAGCAAGCGTAATATCAAGCTCGCCGTCTCTAATGCGCCCTGCTCAGCCCTCAATTTCTCTTTGTTCGCAAGTGTTTTTAAACCAACAACAGCCAAAGCGCGATTGAAATTTATTAGTGTCTTTTTGTCGATACCCAGCCCGCATGCTGTAAATGTTAAATTGTATTAATCTTGCTAATATACCTACCAGTGAAGTATGGATGATTTTCGGTTGGGTGGAAATGCATCAGGGACTTGTAAAGCCGTCACATGTATGTTCGATTTCAAAATAATTCGCGAGATTGCTTGGTACCTACTTATCGTACTTGATGGTTGATGATTATGACATTTCCGGCTCGACTTTCCGGTTTTCCGGTTCTAGCGACTTTTTTGACATCTAGCGACAATTTCAACATTTTGGTGCCGGCCCGGCAGACGGAATTTTTCCGGACCGGAAAACCGGTGTGAACCCGGCTTAACTCGGGAACCAATAGAGCTACAGCGCCGCAGAAAAGCGCATTCGATAGCCCTTTTACAGACCTTTCTTGATATGTTCTCAGATTCGACCTCAGGTCAACGGTATAGCCTCCAAAGGGCAAAAACGGTAAAAACAACAGTTTTCATGAAAATGTTTTTTTTTTTCGTCAATAACTTTGGACTCAAGAGAGCCACGACGTTACTTTTGGCAGCATCGTGTTCCTCTCGTCAAGACGCGTCGAATTAACTATTTGTTGACGCTGAAAGGCCATTTTGAAAATTGGACGTCAGGTCAAGGTCATGACCTGACCGGAAAGGGTCATGTTGCATAATCGTTTCGGCCCCCCCTTAGGGGGGCCGAAACGTCCTTTTCCGTCGATATCTCCTAAACGGCTGGAGATATCGCCACCAAACTTTGAGGACCCCTTAGGGCATCAATTTTACACAATGTGACAAAAAAATCCAGAGGCTATGATAGGTTGGCCAGAAATGACGTCAGAATGACATCATGTTCTGCTATTTTCGACCGAAAAAAGACCTTCACGAGAAGAGCTGTCAGGCCTACAGATTCGAAGATACAGAAAAATGATTAAACCTAAAAGGTGTAAAATTGACGGGACTACAAAACTGCTGTCTCGGATTTTTCAAATTTCTGAGTTTTGAGCCCCAATTCTTTTTTGATACAATAGCCAAAAAAATCCAAAAAGTGTTTTGAGTTTCAAAAAAGGTGAATACGTCATAGTACCTACCGTCTTCCATCTACATACCAAATTTCAGATCAATATCTCGTTTTTTGGCCAAGTTATAGCGAAAAACCTGTTCAAAAATAATGGCGTACAATTTTCCAATTCAATTCCTGGCAACTCTAGACCACGTAGGGCAAAACAAAGACCACCATTAGACTCCCCGTGACGAGCTGCATCGAATCGATACCCATTTTATGTAAAAATATCAACTTTGAAATTTGACCAAATTTGACCTGACCTTGACCTGAACTTGACCAGAACGTGACCTAAGCAGGCCCCAAAGGCTGCCTGAACCACATAATCGCATTTGTCAAGTAAAATGGAACATAAAACATGTATCACACGACACTTTCATATTGTGATCCCCCATTGACCTGACCTCTGTGACCTGACCTGGTATCAGTGACCTCAGATAGCAAAGTATGTGTTTGACGAACAATGTACCATCGATGGTTTTCAATAACGTAGGTACCAATTTACTCGAATTCACAACACATTTCTTGAAATGCCTGTGAACGGTGAAAATCCGAGCATTGACCTGACCTGTGACGTCATCGGCTTGACCTAGGTCAATAAATTTGGTCACAAGGTGGGCCTATCGAACGCCGTGTGAATTTTGAAAATCGACGGGTAAATTTCCGAGATCTTAGGGGGGGGGGGGCGAAACGCCCCCCCCCCCCCCTACGAGTGGTAGGGCCCGCCGATAGCCCTACGGGGCGCGGGTTAACCCGTGATTGTAGATACGGCCACTGGAGGCCAAACCGTTGACCTGAGGTCAAGTCTGAGGACGCACATTAGAAATAGGGCCATAGCCTATAAGGGCTATCGAATGCGCTTTTCCGCGGGGCCCTGTAGCTCTATTGGCTTTTGAGCTATGCGCCGGTAATTCGAAAATTGTTGAATTTGGCAAAATTTGGCCTTTGATGACCTCTGGCAACCTAACCTTTGACCTGACCTAAAAAATGACTGCATTATTTTCGTCATTATTTTTTACGCTTCTTCCATTGCCGCTTTCCGCGTGTGGCTACGTGGTCCAGGCACCGAGTTAACCCTATTAGTGGCAGGGGGGTTGTTTTATCCACCCCTCAGGTTTTTCGGAAATATCTCCGAAACCGCTGAAGCTACGATGCTGAAATTTTCTGACTTTTCCTTAAACTAAATTGGGCACATTCCCTGAAAATTTCAAGATCATAACTTTACCAGGGGCGGCTCCAGAGCACTGGGAATTGGGGGGTCCTATTCGTGAAGCGAGTCATTTGGGCGAAGATCACGATGCTGCACCAGTTTTATGAACAGTGAATGAAAGGTATTAAGTGATAACATATACAGTTATTGTGCATCCTCTTTTGACACGTTTTTGCTATAATAGGCGGATCCAGGCCTCCAAAAAGGGGGTTATGTTTTACCTCCCAACATCGGTGCCCTGACACCGCCTATGCATGTACCAATACAATTGTAGTCGTTCTCTCATAAGAAAATTGTAACATAACAAGACCATTACCACCCTTTTTAGAAACAGTACCAACAAAAACCTTATTTTCTTTACTTTTTGTGTACCCCCAATCTCAATGATCTGTATCCGCCTATGATTTTTGAAAATGCATATTTTTAGGATCCATGTGAATTCCTGGTTCATTCTCTATCGATCGGCAAAAGTTGCGTTAAGATTGGTTCAGAAACCTGGCCGTGATAAACAGTCTAAAATGTATCTGCAATTTGCCCGTTTTTACCCCCTCCACCCCCCCCCTATTGACATTTTTTATTTTTTTATTTTTTAGAAATGTAGATCACGTTGAGCGAAATCGAATGCCGTTTGAATTTTGAAAATCGGCCCGTTAGATCTCGAGATATCAAGGGGGGGGGGTCGTAAACAGCCCCCCTGCCACTAATAGGGGTAGCCAGGAGCCTGCCACTAATAGGGTTAACCCTCACCTTGCTGGGGGGGGGGCAATTTGGCCCCCCTGTGGTTTTTCCTAAATAGCAAGACAACGGCGCCGCCAAATTTATAGTGCCTTTCCGGGCATCAATGTGACACCTTTACATCAAATTTCCAGTCTTAGCTCACCTTAGGTCAGGAGTTATTAAGGTCAAACTAAGGATATGTTCGAGCAAAAACGAGCAAAAAAATGAAATCGTGAAACGCTCACAAAAGCTATACAGTTAACAAGCAATTTCAAAGTTTTTATATGGTCATGCAGACAAAACATAGCGCTACAAAACTATTATCTCGGATATTCAAAATTTCTGGATTTTGACCACCAAAAATTCAAAAAAAATGATTTTTTAGCAAAACTCGAAAAAAAAATCCGAAAAAAATTCTGAATTTCGAAAAAAACGGAATATTTTTGATAGATTCTGCGCTCTTCTATATACATACTAAATTTTAGATCGATACCTCCTTTTTTGGCCAAGTTATAGCGAAAAAACTGGTCAAAATTGATGACGTCATATTTTTAAACAGAATTTTTAGCAATTCTAGACCACGTAGCGCAAAAAAACACCATTGATTTCCCTGTGACGAGCTGCATCGAATCGATACCCATTTTATGCAAAAATATGAAGTTTGTAATATCAAAATATCAAGTGAAATTTGACCTAACTTTACCTGCCCTTGATCTGACCTTGACCTGACCTTCACCGAAACATAATCTTAACTGACCCTAAAGACTGCCTGACCGAGATAATCGTATTTGGCATATAAAATGGATCATAAAACATGCATCACATGATATTTTCATAATGTGACCCTCAGTGACCTGACCTCTGTGGCCTGACCTAGTATCAGTGACCTCAAATAGCAAAATATGTGTTTGACGAACATTTCTGCATCGATCATTCTCAATGAAATGCATTTTACTCGATTTTAAAACGCATTTCTTGAAATGCCTGTAAACGGTGAAAATTCGACATTTGACCTGACCTGTGACGTCATCAGTTTGCCCAAGGTCAACGAATTTGGGTCACTAGGTAGTTCCCTGATGGGGCTATCCAACACCGTTTACCGCTTGTCGCTATGTTGCGTGTTTCTTGAGATCTTAGGGGGGGGGGGGAAATTGCCCCCCAGCAGGGCGCGAATTGGTCGGCAGACCCCAGCGGGGTGCGGGTTAAAGGGGGCGTGAAAACGCCTCCCCCCCCCACACCACCGCACCACGGAAATCTCAGACCACCAGTACCTACTGCGTGGGTTAACTATCGTAAGCTATACCAAAATTTTCGGCTCATCACGCCACGGTTTGCTTAACCCGGGTAAAAAAAAACTGGCTGGAATAGCTAAAATGCCTCACCTCTCGGGCGAAGGTTAAGTTTGCTGATCTTCGTTTATAAAGCTAGAAGCATACGGGTTTCAATCACAGCTACTCGACACATTTTGAGATTTTCCGCTCACATTTTGCAATATGTTGATATTGTATCTCACACACTTATTCCACACATCCTTTATCAACAATGACCACAGAAACTGTCGCTAGTGGACCGTGAAAGGCCAGCCAATCAAGCACGGGAGGACAAGCCAGTATGTGCCACGGTTCGCTGACGAAAAAATTCACCCCTGTCGAGCGACCTTTGGTGAGCGCGTGACCCTCGTGACCCGGTGGTACCGGTCACGGTTCGGACCGCGCCCACCGGGGTCACGACCGCACCGCACCCTCAGGGGTTCCCTGGCTGTATATAGGGGGACAGCGGGCAGCAGCGGCATAGTCAACACACACCAGCCGACCAGACATGTTCAAGGTAGGCTGTCAGACAGCTTGCTTTATATCCACTAATGCTTACCAGCGGTTTAGCATAAATATTTTGCCTATAGTTTTTTTTTCAGAAATCAAAAGAATCGCAGTGCCGTGTCCATGCAAGCGACGATGACTGCCCAAAAGCCTGTCAATCTGTTTTTGTTCAAATCTACGCATCGTAGCGCCTCGTTTCATAGACTGCCTAAAAGTATATCTACGTGTCTTTGTTCACGCAATGATATTCTAACGTTCTGGTGCGTGTCGTTTCAGTTTGTGGTGCTCGCTCTGTGCGTGGCTGCCGCGTCTGCCGGTGGAGGTTACGGCGCTCAGAGTCATCAGCACGTGCAACAGTAAGACCTGCTCAGTTAACTTATCATGGTGATTTCAGTAGCTACGTTTCCATGGCACAAGTAAAGCCGATTTTTCAAAATGGATTTGCTCCATCATAGCATTTCGGCATCATTAAAATTGTAAATATAGGAGTAAGTTCTAGCTAAAGCCATATATACGTTCATGTTTTGCCTAAAGTGAATAGTATCTGAGAAAAATGCATGTTCTAGTAGGCAATCTTGATCGAAACTCAGTGAATGTTGGGCATAAATTACAAAGGAAATATTTGCTCCTGTTTTATCGCAAGATTTGCTACAACGCCTTTTTCTTTTACATAAATGATTTGTGTTTTCACATAGCTTCCACTTTTAGTTATAACGATAGATTCAAACAATCGAATTCAGACTTGTATCCTTCTTAAAACCCGCGCCCCGCTGGGCTATTCAGCCATACGCGCCCTGCTGGGGGGGGGGGGGGCAGATTCTGCCCCCCCCCTGTCTAACTTCCGAACCGATGGTCGTAGAAAGACGGGGAAAACGGCAATCGAAAGCTCTGAACAAGGCGGATCTTAAGAGCCCAAATTTTTTTGCTTAAGTAGGTCAGAGGTCAGGTCAAGGTCAGGTCAAGGGTACAAAATGCAAGTTTCTACAGTATCGGCCTTGCACCGTAGTTGCCGAAGAATGGACTGAGACTGATTGCCCAAAACGTGTTCTTAGACTACCAAGACAATATTCGTTGCACACAATGTCATTCAAAGGTCAAGGTCAAGGTCAGGTCAGGTCAGGTCAGGTCACCAAAAACAAAATATAGAAAAGGGCATGTGCGACACATGTTTTATGGGTCATTTTACTCATGAAATTCAATAGGCACACTCAATAAGTGATATGGACCACCTCTGGATGAATTTCAGGTCGAGGTCAGGTCAAGGTCAGGTCAAGTGAGGTCAAATTTTGAAGTTGGTTGTTAAGGCCTAAAAAGGTAACTATCCGATGCAGTTTTTCACGGCGAATCGAATGGTGCTATTTTTATTTCCGTACGAGGTCTAGAACTTCCAAAAAATCATTTTTCAAAATTTTTGTGTGTCGTGACGTCATAAAATTTTGAATAACTCCCACATTTTTGAACCGATTCTTCTAAAAATTGGTATGTAGGTGCACATAGACCACTTCTTTGACATATATTCCGGTTTTTTCGATAAACTCAAAATTTTGGATTTTATTAACATTTTCCCAAAAAAGTCAGTTTTTTGGAAAAATGTTGGCCAAAATCCAAAATTTTCAAAAAACCGAGATAGCCATTTGATAGACAAAGTAGAATCACGTATAACCTTTTTTGTTACGTCTTGATTTCTTTAAAAATGAAGAAGTTAGCGGCGTTTGAAATTTTGCCGTTTTTTATGCGAAAATGGCGAACATGACGTCACTAAAACGTCAATTTCTCAAAAAATTTCCGATGGATTTCGCTCAAATTTTCAGGGAACGTGTCAAATTGATGTATGATAAGGTACTGAAAGTTTGACGTCGCTGGCGTAACGCGTTTAGAAGTTATAGGCGAAAAACGGGAGGGGGGCAGATTCTGCCCCCCCCCCCCAGCGGGGCGCGGGTTAAGACCAATCAACATCTGATAATTCTGGCATGAGCCACAAAATGTTTAGTTCAAATAGGTATGCACCTACTTTTGATCAGAATACGTAATTCAACTGGACAACTTTTTTCAGATACAATGCCTGGGGTGGCAGCAAGTACGGAGTTGACCAGACCCACGCCACTTACGCGTAAGTTTGTCATATATTAGTTTTTTGTTCATTTTTTTCCTTACACCAAAATATAAATAAAGATAAAAGTTACCTCGAGTGCTCATTGGTCGGTTATCATCCAGTATCATAAGCAATCCAGTAATCATCACACTGTTCAATTCAGCTGTTTCCTTCTAGAGCTCAGAGGAACATTTCCAAAACAGCATTTGTCTGAATGTTTCCCAATGTTTTTCTTACAGCGGTGGTCACGGTGGATACGGCGGATACGGAGGATACGGATCCTTTGCTGGAGGTCATGCCAAAGTCTACGCTCAGGCCCATGGATCTGGTGGATATGGACACGGCGGATACGGCGGTGGACACGGTGGATACGGCGGTGGACACGGCGGATACGGCGGTGGACACGGGGGATACGGCGGTGGATATTCCTACGGATACAGCGCTGATGTCGGACACGGTGGATACGGTGGATACGGTCACTAATTCAACTAATTCTCACTACTGAAAGCGGTTGATTCGTCTAAGGAAACTATCGATGTCTGTAATAAAATAAACGAAAACTTACCCTGAGCGGTATTGTTTCTCGGGCCAAATCAGTGCGCAGAAATTGAAGACCACACTGAACGATTCGCTCGAGCCAATAGCAGAGTTTCTCACTGCCAAATTCCTTGAGCCAATAGCCGAGTCTCTTATTCGTGATCCTCGCCCTCGGCATGAGCGGGAGGAATTTGTTGGTGGTCGTGTGTTACGAAATGTATGCCAACATGAAAACACGATGAACATGAATCCATAGCGACTGGCGAGCAAAGCGAGAACACAAACAAAATAACCAAGATTCTTACCCACGGGTGCAGGAGCGAACCAACTGTTTGGGCGTGTCCCAAACAACTTTGCCAGGCCCCCCCCCTTCCCCGTTGAGGTCGTCATATTTGGTCACAGTCACTCACACCTGATTATCTCAAAACCTTAAAAAAGGCTAGAAAGATCTGATGTTTAATTCAAAATTTGATCTGACCTCAAATCCAAGTTTTACCGGGGTAACCATTACCTGATTGGAGAAGATCATATTGCATATCATTTGGTCCGTATAGATGATCTGTACACATTTCAGATGATTTCAGGGCTATATCATGTCTCCACCAAAAGTTAGGCACTGTCGAAAAACTGCCGGTGACCTTTTATGAAGTAGCCTGACCTTTTAAGTGACCAGTACAGTGGCCATTCCCTGTATCGTATCCATTCCATTTGGGTAAATTGGTCAATTTCCGCAAAAATCCTGTGGTGTCAGGAGGTATTTGCACTCCCTTTGTCTTGTAATGGTGGGGTCACAATTCTTACCCGAACCCACCACAGATATAAAACAGCGATGAATATCAATTATATTGATGCTGATACGTCATGCAGTTGAGTGAGTTTCAGACTTGAGGATAAGCTGTAGGAGAGGCAGGATTATATTTTTTAGATGCATGATTGCGTAGCTGGTCCCGGTTACCTGACCTTAGGTGACCTGAGGTCAAAAGTTTTGCACAAGATGCAAAAGTGGTACATAATAAGCATACTAACTCGCCCGGGCCGGGAGGAGGTGTTTGAACACCACCCCCTGCGCTGTGATTTTTCGCAGATATCTGAAAAAAGCGGCAGCGAGGAGCGCCGCCGTGTTTGGCACACCTGTTCGTGCATTTTTTTCCGCACAGGTTGTGAAAATTTCAGGTCGCTCAAGGTTTGGTCACCAGGTCACGCCAGGTGACCTCACCTCAGAAAAGAATACGAATTACGAATGCTCGTCGTAGCTATACCGACTGAGCGATTGCCTTGAAACTTTCAGCGATTAATAAGAGTAACAGTACCTATCTATAAAACGTATATCTCGGAATTTCAATATCGGTGACCTAAGGTCAGGTCAATTTTGAGGCCTCTATTATAAGTTAATGGGAGAAAGTTGAAAGTCGTCTTTTTCTAGACACTCTTAAACATCGGGATGCAGGTAAAATTGATACACTGAACAGGAAAATGGCTACTGTGACCCCTCGTTATGCCCCCGAGGTCATTTCAGGTCACGAATAGTATCTAACAGTTTTTCGCTAAGAGCCTTTGATAGAAGCATATTAAATTGTGTTGCAGCCGCGAAATGCGACGAAACAATCACTGCGCTGAAACGTTATTTAGTCACTGATCAATGACTACACTGAACAGTAGGTAACCCATGCAATGAACAATAAACCAGCATAAAGAGTGAAACAGTTGAGTGGCTGCAATAAGTAGTGATCTAGTCACTGTACTAAGCAGTGAATAATTGGTCAAGTTGACACAAGGACGTTCCAGCAGTAACTGACTGTCTTAACCCTCGCCCTGGCAGGGGGGGGGGGTCGATGCGACCCCCCCTAAGGTTTTTCGAAGATAGCGTAAAAACGGCGGCGCGCAGCGCCGCCAAATTTGGCACAGCTTATGGGGCAACCTTTTTACATATGACCTGAAAATTTCAGGTCCGGGTGACCTTGGGTCAGGTCACCAGGACAGAAAAACCGGTACAAGGTCATGGTCAAATTTCAATTTTCTTTTTGCACCTGTCCAACTCACAGTTTTGCACTGATTTCCTTCAAACTTTCAGGATGTGCTAAGTTCACCGAGTTGTATAACATATAGTTCGGGTTTTTTGAGGTCACTGACCTGAGGTCAGTTAGAGGTCATTGCGTCGTAATGTTAAGCCTATGGGAAAATACTAAATTCGGAAAATACTGGAGATATACGCTTCGTTTTATCACTTTTGTGCTTTGAAACCACAGTAATTAACAGCAGGTCACTTGGTGCTTCTTTGTTTGGTGTACTTATCCATGGGTCAGGTCAAATGAGGTCAACTGAGGTCAAATGACGTTTTTGCCAATAACTTGGCACATAATGACGCTAGAGCTTAAAAAATGGTATCATTGTGTTCCTGGTGATCAGCCGAATCGAATGATATGCGATATGATGCAATTTGGTTAACTTTAACTTAATTTATTAATTTAAGTTTACTTAAAATTTAAGAAAAACTTTAAGTACCCTTAATCAAGCTAAAAAGTATATCATTCGACGCGCCTTGACGTGCTGAGTTCACAGGTGCTTTTTGTTTTGCTCTATCTTAATTAGATCAAAAGTTATAAGCGAAAAACTTTTGACCTGTTTTTAGCGAAATTTTTGCATTCATACCCCCCAAAACCCCCCTAAATATTGACCTAGAGCAACCAAATTTGCACAGGGGCGAAAACTCCAGGGGGCCCACCTACCTACCAAATTTGGTGTTTCTAGGTGCCATAGGAGCCAATCGCGAGGGGGGGGGGGGTCGCATCGACCCCCCCTGCCAGGCCGTGTTATGAAAAATGCCCTGCCAGGGCGAGGGTTAACTGACAGCAACGTCTGACAACGGTAATGGTAAGAAGGCGCAACTTCACAAGTTCGCCAACAGATGGCGACATCTGTCACAAAGTGACGGTTTGGTGGTCACGTGCGTCGACAATCCTCCAGCTCAGGAGAGTAGGGTCCACTGACATCTGTGTGACGTGACGGGAGGGAGGGGGGCATTTGGAGTGTTCGCGGAGGAATTATGAATGATTTTCTAATCTATTACTCATATTCGAACATCACAATTCGTTTTCATGGTGATTGTGAAACATATATTGTAAAAAGAATATGGAGGCAAAATTGCTGCTAATTTTTTAATGCATTGTTTAGATTATTTTGCCGACAAACATTGTTTTCGTTCAATATGACAAAGCATGTCGGATGGTCGTAAGGTAAGAACACCTAATCCCATCAAACCATAGCAATTTAGAACATATTTCTTATTTGATTATCGTCACTATGAATGCTCGTTGACATCCATTGTAATGAGGTAAACTGTCATCAAAAAACGTCGCCAGGTTAAACTTGCATAACTTGCAAAACGCATAATTGCATAGCTCCAAATCTAGTGGACTGAATGTATCCACCCCGTTCTCACGTTCCTTGTACACCCTACATCCGGACTTGCAGCGTTACTGTAAAATCATTCTTCAAACATACAAATCACCCATTCTGTCTCCACTATTGCTCACATCACGCTAAAAATCATGTCACGTCGGTCAGGTGCTTAACCTGCTAAATTCCGGTTACCTGCTCCACTTTTCGCAATCGCTGCCACCGTGCCACCAGTTCCCGTGCGCAATCCCTGTCTCCTGTTCCTTCCCGTAATGGTGAGCTCAGAGGTCACGATACGGGGGCGCGGTCTTACGTTTCTCTGGGAGCAGATCAAGGTCGATGAATTGATATCACTCGCCGATATAGCGGCCCGTTGCGGTTCAATGAGTTTACGTCTTACACGCAGCAGCCGTTACAAATGGAGCCGAGCTGTAGGAGCGTGTGCCCAGTGCACTATGTTTTAACTCGGGACCAAAACTGGCCAGGGCTCGTAACTAAGAAACTATATGAGATACAGACGTGTTTTTTTTTTTTTTTTTGCTTAACCCGCGCCCCGTAGGGAGGGGGCGAAACGCCCCCTGTCCTTTTCCGTCGATATCTCCTAAACGGCTGCAAATATCGCCACCAAACTTTTAGGACCACTCCGATCATCAATTGTACACATGGTGACGAAAATTTTTCTAGAGGCTATGAAAAGTTGGCCACAAATGACGTCAGAATGATGTCATGTTCTGCCATTTTCGACCGAAAAAAGACCTTCGCGAGAAGAGCTGTCAGGCCTACAGCTTTGAAGATACAGAAAAATGATCAAGACATAAAAGGTGTAAAATTGACAGGACTACAAAACTGTTATCTCGGATTTTTGAAATTTTCGTGTTTTGACTCCCAAAAATCAAAAAAACATTTTTTATATATTAGCCGAAAATTCCAAACAATTTTTTGAGTTTCGAAAGAACGGTTTATATGTGATAGTACCCATCGTCTTCTATCTACATACCAAATTTCAGATCAATATCGCTTTTGGCCAAGTTATAGCGAAAAAAAAACTGTTCAAAAATTATGGCATCAAACTTTCAAACTCAATTTTTGGAAATTGTAGACCACGTAGGGCAAAACAAAGACCACCATTAGACTCCACGTGACGAGTTGCATCGAATTAATATCCATTTTGTGCCAAATATTAACTTTGAATTTTTACCTAATTTGACCTGACCTTGGCCAGACCTTCACCAAATCGTGACCTAAGCTAGCCCCAAAGGCTGCCTGACCCACATAATCACATTTTTCATGTAAAATGGACCATAAAACATGTATCACACGACTTTTTCATATTGTGACCACCCAGTGACCTGACCTCTGTGACCTGACCTGGTACCAGTGACCTCAGATAGCAAAGTATGTGTTTGACGAACAATGTACATACCATCAATGATTTTCAATAACTTACCAATTTACTCGATTTCACAACACATTTCTTGAAATGCCTGTGAACGGTGAAAATCCGACCTTTGACCTGACCTGTGACGTCATCGGTTTGACCCAGGTCAATACAATTTGGTCACAAGGTAGTCCCTCGGTTGGGCTATTGAACGCCGTTTGAATTTTGAAAATCTTGGACGCCCGAAAAGCTTGGCACGCCTTATTTGAGCGGGTCTCTCTCTCTCTCTCTCTCTCTCTCTCTCTCTCTCTCTCTCTCTCTCTCTCTCTCTCTCTCTCTCTCTCTCTCTCTCTCTCAGTTTGACTTGGACAGCAGCGGCGTTGTTGGAGGGCGCTCCGTGCTGTTGAAATGCAAAATGACCCTTAGGGCGAGCCGCCTTGACCTTCGGGTTGTTGTGCTTGTCCAGCAACCCCTAGACGACCCGTGACGTTTACGAAGGTGACTGGACATTCCTCTCCATTAGGCCCTCGGGTTTTCTTCGTCGGTTGCCGCTGAAACGCGGCAACGCTCTCGGCGGTATTAATCTACCGGGGCCATACTGGCCTGACGATACTTACTTAGGAATTCCCAAGACGGAATAAGCCTTTTTTGCTGCACCATTCGCCGAAAAACGTCACATCGCGCTGCAACTCGCGCCTCGTTCAAGCCGCACTTGGCCGCCGCGCGCGGGCTCTCAGCGACAAGACGCATCTTTTCCCAGCTACCAATCACTGAGTACGATTTCAAGGTCATAGTTGCACGACCATCAGCTGACCAGTAAATGAGGGGTCAATGCGGCTTAATTTGACTCAGCACGGGACAACTCACCAGGCCCGGACACCGTAAGGATTGACAGCCGGGTCATGCCTGCGGTGATTGGCGGATTATCCGCTACTCACAGCGCGCAGTAGACCGGGCGTCCAAGAGAGGTGCCAAAGCATTCCGGTCACCTTGTATTACATACGAATACATTTTGTTCGCATATCTGCACAAAGTAAATGTTCATCTGATGGGTTTTTTATCGTTAAATTTCACTGAGCTCTAGTGTATGATTCATATTTTTAATGGTGCTGTACAACAAGTCTTTTGCAGTGACAAAGTCAGAATGTGTCAGCTCGTTTGAGCGCCGGTCACTGCCGATACGAGCCACGTCCTTCAGGCTGCCAATAGCCACTGACTTGGTCATCAGTTTTCTAGCCACATTTCACAACTAAATAGCCAAACTGCCGGGTGATTTGAACTTTTTGTGTGCGCATTACTCCCAACGCAATGACTGGCCAATGCCGGCTCTGCTGTGGCCTCTGGTGTGGGTGTGGGCGTGGCCTCTGTGAAGGGGCGTGGCTCCACCGGCAGTGTGTCGGCCCGTATAAAGGCTTCGGTCGTCGGGTGGCCGTCACACATCAACCTGTGAGCTCCTGCAGTCATGAACAAGGTACTCAGATGGAAAGCGGGTAGAGACTAGAGACACTTTGGCAAAAGACATGTTAATCGAGTACAGGCAAAGCGTTTAAAATTAAACATACATAAAGGGCTGCTTACGTGGCTGGTACAGTAAAATGTCGGGAAAACTATTGAAGATTGAGACATACAGAGACCTTTTTATATCGAGAAAGCTGTGTCACTTTTGACAGTGTCGTTTCCCTTGTAGTTCTTTCGCTTATTTCAATGTTTTCCCCTGCAGTTTTTGGCTGTCGTTGTGCTGGCGGCGGTGGCCTCGGCCGCTGAAAAGAAGGAGGACCTCAAGACCGAGGAATCCCACCCGGTGGTCTCCTACGGCAGCGGGTAAGTTTCATTGGTGAAATGAAGCTTCAATGATATTCGTTACTTTTATAAATATCATGGTTTCAAACTTCTTATTTACTAGAAGCACATTGACCGATTCTATACATCGGCAATTCTGTGACAATGGTGGAACTATTTTCTTCTCAGCTATGGTTACGGAGGCCACTCTGGTCCCAGCTACAGCCGCTCCCATTCGTACACCAGGACCTACAGCAAGCCCAGCTACGGATACGGACATGATAACAGGTGAGGGGACAGCTTCTTATACCTGGTGTACGACATCATTTGTAATGCGGCTTTTTCTAGACCATAAAATAATATGTGCATGGACTGATAGATAGCTCTATCAAATAATGCAGCCTTTGATCAACGGCGGCTCTTTTTCAGCTACGACTACAAGCCCAGCTACGGCTACGGCAGCTCTGGCTACGGCAGCTCTGGCTACGGCAGCTCTGGCTACGGCAGCTCTGGCTACGGCTACTCCCGCCCCTCGTACGGCTACGGCCACTCCACGAGCAACGGCTACGGTCGTCCCAGCTACGGTTACACCAGCTACGGCTCCGACAACAGCTACGGCCGCGACTACGGCTACGGCCATGGCTACGGCTCCGACCGCGGTCACGGCTACGGCTACTCTGGCTACAGCCGTCCCTCCTACGGCCACGGCTACTCTGGCCACGGCTCTGGCTACGGCCACTCTGGCTACGGCTACAGCGCTCCTTCATACTCGTACTCTCGCAGCTACGGCTATTCGGCTCCGTCGTATGGTTACGGATACGGCCACTAGATGTCACTGAACACAGTTGACCCCAAGATCTGACCTGGTCTGGTTTTGTCAGTGGTGGTGTCAGTTAGTTTGCCAGACGGTGACCATTAATAGCGAAAGGTCTTTCTGATTAGTGTTACTTATGTTCACTTACCCTCGCATGTGTACAGGGACCCGCAGTTGCTTCTGTACACACTAGTATTTCAGCGTATTCTTTGCCTGTGACACCGTTGGAGGCGAATTGGGAAATGATTGTGTGCTTATTAAAACCACCATCTGAAAGGCTTTAAACTGATGTGCTGCTCTCCTAATTCAGTGAACTTTTTATGGCTATATCAGCAAAACATTGTTTTCAGCGCTTTTTCCTGCCCCATTCCTTCTAAAACCTGGAACCGCTTATTCCATTTACTCCTGCCATCTGACGATGGTCGTGCTGACTACTAGTTCCGGCGCTAGTTACTGCTCCAGTTTTGCACCCGGCACAAACTCAGGCGGCACCGGGCCGTGGCTCGACCAGAGGAGGGTCGGACCGAGCCGACTGCCTGGGGCGCGGTTAGATCGGACGCCGTGCTGGGGAAGGGGACGGGAGTGAGGGGGAGGGGAGGAGGTGATCACGTGGTCTGTCCAAGCTCGCAGACGGCCTGTCCTGCGCCCAGCCATGTTCCGTGATCCAAAATGGCACGAGAGCTGTGGAATGCGTGGAGGAGACGCTTCGAAAGCGAACTTCAGCGGCACTAATTTGCCATATTCTGTGGAGATAAATGAATATTATCTTATTGCAGAAAAAATTGTATGCCTAAGCTGTATAGTGTATAAGCTGTATCTTTTTATAAAGTTGTAAATAGGATTATTTTTAGGGACTTATGGTCTCGTATACACAGTGAATTGTGTTACATTAAGCCGTTTCGCTGTTATGGTTACTAACTGAAGAGTTATCTTTTTTTTTCTCACAGGGAATGACAATACAATAGCAATACGAATAAAACCAGACGTTTCGCACAAAAAAGTGCCTCTGTCAGTGGCAAGAAATAAGTAATTAGGCATACATGTTTTCTTTCGATAAAGTCGATGAAGTAGTTATCTTTATTTTCTAAGATATATTTTCAGCAGTTTTTTAAGCACATCATGGAAGCTTATAAACATTTGTGTATTTTATCGGCAACCCGGCTGGCCAGACCGAGACGGTGCCGCATATAGTTCTCATCGATGTTAAACCTATACACTTATTTTTCTCCACTGACGAAGGCACGTTGTTGTCCGAAACGTTTGGTTTTATTCGCATTGTTTTTATATTGTCATTGTCCGTGAGAAAAACATACTCACATTGACTGGCCTCAGTTCATGTAGAAATTGTTGCATATTCATCAACACAGATAAAGTGAATATTAGCCCTCACTACACATATAAGTAGAGGTAGACCGCGCCCACTGTTTTTCACCAATAAATCGCGATTCGCGGCAAAGCGAAGGATTGCGACGATTCTTTGGTGCCCTGGAGTTAATCAAATTTACAACTTCCCGGAAAATTAAATAGCTCTTATCATTTTTGCATCTTGTCTGATAATTTTAAATCCCTGAACCAAATTACCTTTAACCTGTGATTATTTTTCCCAAGATCATGTCAGGCCAGAATAGCAATTGAAAGTCAGCGCACATCTTCTGTGTGTTTCCATAGTCGTTTCGTAATTAGCAACGTGACAACATGTGAAATATACTATCTAATGTTTGTCTCATTGATTGTTGTGGGTGCCAAGGTCACGTGAAACTCAGGGTTAAGGTCATTTACTTGAAATGATATCGGTTAACTTCCTTAAATTCACACCTTTTTACTGTGGTTTTTAGGAAGTGTTGGTTTGAAATTTAGCACTCATTTTAGCATTTGAAAACTGGCATACTTAGGTATCAGTTATAGTGCCTATGCAATATGTTGCAAGGCTGTAAGTGCTGGTTAACATTCTATGGATAGGTGGCAGAACGCCTAATGGGTGATCTGGCGTAAGCCGTCCTACCCCAAATGCTTTGATACATCATCTTTGATCAAAGCAAGTGCAAATTCGGAGTCAGAAGCAAGCCAAGTCCCAGCAAACTTCACTTGTAGAAATTCTAGCAGGACCCATTTTTACGTGCTTTTGGGTTATTAACCTGATCTAGGAGGTCAACCAGTGACATAGGATCTCAGCATTGACCAGGATATAAAAATAATTGGCTTTCTCTCGTCAGCGATGACCAGGACCCTCAAATCATCGGATTTCTCTCGTCACGAGCAGCTCGCTCTTTTTTATTTTTCAGCGAAGCTCTGGCTATTTTTATCAAGGGCCGAATGGCTGAGGGTTTCTACGCCCCTCCGCTACATGTAAGACGCTGGAAAGAAATGCCTAAGTGGGTGAGGGTTAAATATCGATTGTTTTTTAAGTGCCGAAGCCCGAAGCACTTTAATTTACTTCGATAGCAGTTTTTAAGACCAACGAGCTCGAATACTATAACTTCTTGAACAATCTAAGCACCACATAAGATGAATCGTAAGAGAAGCGGCTCAAGATTAAGGAGCTATGAGACACTTAATAAAAACGGCATAGATTAGAAACTGCACCTAACTTGCACTGGTTTTTAAACCTTTTCGTTGCAGACTGGTAGATTAAATTTATGATTGATTTCAGCTGATGCTCAAATGGAGCTATTCATTCGTTCATTCATGCGACCATCCAATTCCATTCATAAAAGAAGCCAGTGACAAAATTGTTCATTTTAGATAAGTGTGAAATACAAACTCAATAAAAGTTAAATGATATGGCAAATTTGACAGCTTTTATAATGAACAGACAAAAAACTTTAACAAATCAAAGTTGAGAGCCCCAAATAGGGGAGAGTGAGGGCATTTTTTAGGCCATCACAGTATTTGTCAACAATTGTTGTTTGGGGGGCTGGGGAGGGTGGTTACTGGCTCATAATCTGTCCCCCCCCCCCAAAAAAAAAAGAAAAGAAAAAGAAAACGAAACCGATCATCCGCGAAAAGAACTATTGAGCTCGAACCAAGGTGACGAATCGATTTATAGGTATGCAGGATGGCTAACGATGCCACTTTTTGACTTCTTGTGTCAAATAAATTCCATCATCTGGATAGCACGTCATCATTCTATGACATTTTGTAACAAACGTATACTATTTGGCGCGACTAGCCTCATAAATGTTCTGAAACTAAAACCGTTTCTTCGCAATAAACTTGAACCACGTCATCCCAGCTTATGCACGACAAACATAAAATAATGCTTCAGGATCACTGGCCTGAATTCCAATGCTTAAAGTTTACTCAAAACCGGTGTGGCTGAGGCACTCTTCGCTACATCTCGTGACGGCCACCATTGTATTGCATTTTTCGGTTAGCTATAAGTTAATAACGAAAGGATTGGTGAGTGGGTTGAAAACAGCCCTCACCCTCCACCCCCCCCCTTCTTCTTCTGGAAACATAAGTAAGCGAAAGATCTGGCGATGGTTTATCCGCCTCCTCTGCCGCCGCGCTGCGAGGCTTCGATTCGTTCGGTATGTGGCTTCCTGGGCGGTCCTCCCCGGAGGCAAGGTGAAAGGTCATGGCCTGTATCAGAAATTTATACGCTGCTGAATATGTTTTATAGTTCTTCCAAGGCCTTGGACACCGTTTTATTATATCGGATAAGCATTGCACTTACTTGTCAATCAATACATCTAAAGAAAACTTGATCATAATCTTAAACTGCGGCAATTGTAGTTCTGCTTACGGTTGCCTCTTTATGATACGGGCCACCACCACCTCCACTGCGCTGGAGCTCTGGCGTTCTACCCCTCCCCGCTACGGACCGGCCCTCGGGCTAGGTGTGTTAGTACTGAGCGCAAACCTGTAGTAGTCACGTGACTTTCATTCACGTAGCGGGAACAGAAGCTATAGGCGATACCAAGGACGGGCTCTGGGGAGGCAGCCGGCGCGGAAAAATAGCACGATTGTAGTTTTGGAAGAATATCTGTTGTGGTAAGAGGAATTATACAAAACATACGTCCTAGGAGCAAACATGTGTTATTCCTCCATACTTTGCACTACATTTCCTTTCTCCAATGGCCAGCACTTAGCAAATAATAGCGCAATTCTAAATTGGTAATATATGTGTACAGTAGCAACTGCGGGTCCCTGTACCTGAGGACATATTTAAATAAACTTTGCCGATAACCTCATGCTTAGAACCGCATGCCGAAAGATCTTCATTCATTGTGAGCTTTCAGTTGAGGTAAATATGAGATGAAGACCTTCACTACGGAAAGGACACTGGTAGGATTAGTGCATGTGTTTTTTTTTTTACGGGAAAAAAACACTTCCAGTGAACTGAAGCTATGATTTCACTGACGATTATCGATATCGATTATCAACGAGCGATTATCGATATATGTATACAGGAACGAAACATCGAATTAAAGTCTTAACCCGCGCTCCACTGGGAGAGGGGGGGGGCTATTCACAGCCGCCCTCCCGTTTTTTCTGCAAAAACGTCCAAACCGCTTGGCGTATCGACGCCAAACTTGCAGTACCTTCGGCTGCATCAATTTGACACCATGTGTTAAACTACGAGCTTCGTAACTACCGAACATCGTCACATGACGTCACAGTGACGTCATGTTTGGCCGATTTCGACGCAAAACATTGAACCACGGCAATTGCTCCCAAGAGCTCAGTTTTCAAGCTCCAATTTCTTTACATGAGAGGACTCAGAATAGACTGCGTATTCAAACTGCTATTTCGGATTTTCGAAATTTGGAAAATTTTGAAAATTATTTTTAATAAAATTGAAAATTTATATTTTTATATTTCTTTCAAAAACTTTTTGACTTTTCGAGAAAAAAAAACGGAATATATGTGATAGAAGACATGCTTATGACTTACTCTAGCAAGTTTTAGCTAAATATCTTCAAAAATGGCCAAGTTATTTGCATTATTGGAAAAAAATTCACAATTATAAATTTTTCAAATCAATTTTTCAGTACGTATATGACATCGTACACTAATATGAATAGCTTCATCATGTTTCTGAGCTCAAACTTCATCCAATAGACACATTTTTTGTTGAACAATTTTAACTTCAAAATTTGACCTTTTTTGACCTGAAAGTGACCTGACCTAAGCTAAATTCAACTAAAAAATCACATCAAATTCGAAATATATGTCCTAAATTGACCATAAAACATGTGTCACGTGGCCGACGCATGATATAATATTTCCGTAACCTGTGATGACCTGACCCTGACCTGAAAATCAAAGTACAAGTTTGGTACGCTCAGGGTATCTAAAACATCTGTTAACAAGTGTGTAAACCAAAAATGAGCCTGATCTGACTTGTAAGACGGTGGCCAGAGCCCAAAATGTGAACAAACCAAAATACTAATAGTTTTTACTTTGACCTGACCTGTGACGTTATCGGTAACCTTGAGGTCAATGAAATTAGGTTTCGCTCGACAGTTTTTCCGGGGCTATCAGACGCCGTTTGAATTTTGACGATCGGCTCAGTAGTTTCGGAGTTAGGGGGGGGGGGCTATGAAGAGTCCCCCATGGTAGGGCGCGTTATACGCAGACCCCAGTAGGGCGCGGGTTAAACCATGTCAACCACACGTAATCGTGATTTCATACACTCCTAGCAAGTTTTGAGGCTTCACTTTTGCATTGTTGAAATTGCGTGACGTCATGTATGGCGTCACCAGGGTCATAAGAGTTTTTCGTCAATAACTCCCAATGAAACTGAGCAAGCGAGTCGGTGAAGCCAACAAGGGACTCAGGAAGACCTGCCGAATCGAATGATGTGCGGCATGACCTCATTTGGCCAAGTTCGTGACCTGGGGGTCTCTGACCTGACCGTTTCCCGAGGTCAACGCCTCAAGTTGAACTCACCTAAACAACAAGTAGGTATACCATTCGACGCAACTGAGCAAAGCAAATACGATGCTGTCAATATCACGGCTCTGTGGGCATTTTTTGCGAAGTTAACCTTCGCCCCAGTGGGGGGGGGGCATATGTTACCACCCTGTCGCGTTTTTTGCGTGTGAATAAAAAAACCGCGGCGCGTAGCGCCGCGCCGCTTGGGGTAGCTTTTGGTACATCAATTTTGGACAATGTGTGAAATTTTTTACCCCAGGTCATGTCAGGTCAGGTCACCAGGTCAAGTTAACTGACCAAGCCTAAAAAAGTTTGCAATCATGTCCAGCCTGCAGTGTTTGTCAAAAAGGTTTCAAACTTGGTGGATTGCATGCTGTTATGGGCGCCTACAATTTGTATATCTCGGATTTTTTATATCCGAGACCTAAGGTCAGGTCAGTGGCGTGACCTTTCCATTACAAGTCAATGGAGAAAAATGAAAATGCCTCTAGATCCGTGTGTACGCATAGGAACAGTCCAAATATTTCAGAATCATAATGATTTGGACCACCCGTGACGACCAAGGTGTCATTTTTGCTGATAGCCTCTAGGAAGGTCATCCGAGGTCATTTGAGGCTACAAACAGATTTTTTGCAAATAACTCGCGATTGGAGAGAGATAGAACGCTGGGGATGGTCTCATTGTGTTTGTCTTGTTGAGACGCATCGACTGATATGCAACATGACCTTTTCCGGCCAGGTCATGACCTTGACCTGAGGTCAAATTTTCGAGTTGACCTTTCAAGGTCAAATTATAGTTCATTCGACGCGTCTCGGCGAGAGGAACACGATTCTGGCAATATGAATGTCGTGGCTTTTTGTAGTCGAAAGTAATTGTCGAAAAACACTTTTCGTAAAAACAGCAATTTTTTGAGTTTTTGCCCTCTGGAGGCTAAACCGTTGACCTGAGGTCAATTTTGATAATAACCTTATCAAAAGAAAAGTTTAAAAGCTATCGATTGCTTATCCATGCGTTTTTCTAGCTACCATAGCTCCTGAGATAACGGCATGTTTTCTGAAAAATATAATGACAATTGGCAAATTTTGACCTTTGATGACCTCTAGTGACCCCAATATTGCTCTAAGATGAAAAATGACTGAAATACTTTCAAACGAACGCATTGAGAGCTATCGAATGCTTTTTACCGCATCTTTCTAGCCATCTTAGTTTTTGAGTTAGAGGTGGGTGGTAACATATGCCCCCCCCTCACTAGGGCAAAGTTGGCTGAGACCGCCACTGGGGCGCGGGTTAATTGCCAAAAACCAAACCCGTACCTTGAGCCATTCGCCCTGACCTCAGAGGTCATCGGTTGATCTGAGACCTGAAAATCAGAAACGTAATCGCTGCGTCTCGTAACAGCACACACGCTCGTTTTTTCCGCGACGCTCTAGCTCCATCAGGGGCGAGAGGGAGAGGGTCGTACCCCCCCCCCCCCCCCACTCGGCCGGCGCGTATGTAGAAAACCAATAGGTCCGGCCAGAGAGAATGCTTGAAAGGCAAGGCCTACATACATGAAGTATATATTTTTTGCCCTGCACTATCGGCTACCAGAAGAAAAAAAAAATAGATTTTGCTAGTCCTGCACCTTTCTGCATCCGGCACAGTGCAAAACATAGTTTGTGATTTACTTCGACGATCTCGCTTGCTGAGTTCGGAGCTCCTCTGTTGCTTCCGTTCCTACATCGGTGAAATTTTTTTTCCAAAGTTAGTTCGCGGAAGCCGGAAATCATTTGCTACGAAAAAGAAAAATGATCTGAGCAGAAACTGAAATCTTCACTGCAGTACATTTTTATTTAGGAAACATTTCAGTAACACAATACACATGCATACGTCAATATCAGTGCACTGGAATAAATAGGCGGACCTTTACCGTAAATGGTCACTGATTGGCCCATACTAACACCGACACTGACAAACCAGGCAGGGTCAGATCTTGGGGTCAGCTGTTTTCAGTGACATCTAGTGGCCGTATCCGTAACCACGGGACGGAGCCGAATAGCCGTAGCTGCGAGAGTACGAGTACGAGGGAGCACTGTAGCCGTAGCCAGAGTGGCCGTAGCCAGAGCCGTGGCCAGAGTAGCCGTGGCCGTAGGAGGGACGGCTGTAGCCAGAGTAGCCGTAGCCGTGACCGCGGTCGGAGCCGTAGCCATGGCCGTAGCCGTAGTCGCGGCCGTAGCTGTTGTCGGCGCCGTAGCCGGAGTAGTCGTAGCTGGGACGGCCGTAGCCGTAGCTGGTGGAGTGGCCGTAGCCGTACGAGGGGCGGGAGTAGCCGTAGCCAGAGCTGCCATAGCCAGTGCTGCCGTAGCCAGAGCTGCCGTAGCCAGAGCTGCCGTAGCCGTAGCTGGGCTTGTAGTCGTAGCTGAAAAAGAGGCACCGTAGGTCAGAGGCTGCAATATTTGACACAGTTATTTATCAGTCAATGCAAAGCCTATCTTATGGTTGCGAAAAAGCCGCATTACAAGTGATGTCGTACACCAGGTGTAAGCAGCTGTGCCCTCACCTGTTATCATGTCCGTATCCGTAGCTGGGCTTGCTGTAGGTCCTGGTGTACGAATGGGAGCGGCTGTAGCTGGGACCAGAGTGGCCTCCGTAACCATAGCTGAGAAGAAAGCATTTACAACATCGTCATAGAATTGCAAAGTTTTGGAATGAGTCAAGGCGCTCCTATAGCACAGTAGTAAAGTAGCAGCGGGAAAATACATGTAGCTGCTATACAAGTAACAAATATGATTGAAGCTTCATTTCACCAATGAAACTTACCCGCTGCCGTAGGAGGCCACCGGGTGGGATTCCTCGGTCTTGAGGTCCTCCTTCTTTTCAGCGGCCGAGGCCACCGCCGCCAGCACAACGATAGCCAAAAACTGGAAAAGAAATTAGATACTTGAAAAACATTCAAAGAAGCTATGTTGACAATATAACGTTTTTTTTAAACATATTACAACCATCTATAAAAAAGGTAATGATGTGTGCCATGTTCAAGACTCTTCCCTAACATCTTATTTTGGCCGCCACTTCACCAACACAAAATCACACTCTAAACTTCATCTGCACTAGACTCGGCTATCTCCAGCAAGTGTGTCTTTTATACACATTCCACTTGTGTACCTTGTTCATGACTGCAGGAGCTCACAGGTTGATGTGTGACGGCCACCCGACGACCGAAGCCTTTATACGGACCGACACACCGCCGGTGGAGCCACGCCCCCTTCACAGAGGCCACGCCCACACCCACACCAGAGGCCACAGCAGAGCCAGAATCGGCCAGTCATTGTCCGCGTAGTAAAAGTCAGTGAATGACTGGACAGAGTTAGGGTCTAGGGCGGCTAGGACGTTTGTCTCTAGTCGAGTTTTTTTTTGTGCGGCAGTTTGATCACTATTCGTAGGAATGTGTCCGTCTATTGGAAAACAAGCCTGAGATATCGTGCATGATTTTTTAAAAGTTATCTTAGATCAGTATGTCTTGACACCCCATGGCAGGCAGGCACTTTAGACCAGCATGCTTTTGTCTAGTGAGCCAGCTGATCTGAGTCCTGTTGCTGTACTCGCAGCAAAATTTGGTGTACGTGGTACGTGACGTGACCATGAATTTGTTTCATGCTTGGTCGTTGGAGAATATATGTAAGTTCCTTGACGGGTTGCTGGAAAACGATTCAAGAGCCATCGGTTTTGCTCCATGCAGATCAACCACGACCCGTTACACTATCCATGTGTACAGGGTGGAAAGAAAAATATGTCCTGATTTTAACAGCTCCTGAAATCAAAACAAGTAGAAATATCTCCAAGTGGCTTGAAGCCTTTTCTGGAAACTATATTCCTAGTGTCGCTGAAAATATTGTAACATATCTCGTTCCAAGGTAACCCTCATAGCACGTGTTCCAAGTGACATCTTTTTCGCAGAATTTAGAGATATGCATACTCGTACCTTGCAACATCAGCGATGATTTCAACAAACATATCGGGTATGTTCTATGTGCGACCTTTCAAATCGTCTTCATCAGGTTCGGGAGACTCTCTGGACTCTCTGGGCTCATGGCTAACAACCTTTGATTCCATAAAAGCCCTCAGATAAAAATCCATGGGCGTCAAGCCTGAGAAGAGGTTTTCGCAACTCAAGTAATAAACGTACCGATCGCAACGAAACTTTAAACCCTCGCCCGTAAACGGCGATCTGCCACCTTCGCCCATGCAGGGGGGGGGGGGGGGTTGGTGCGACCCCCCCCCCCCCGTTGGCGTTTGAAAACGGAGCGTCGTAGAGCTTAGCGGAAAAGACCAACGGATTGCTCTCGCCGAGATCTCGCGATTGGTGGTATATTTTTTGGTCCTAGGTCAACATTTGACCTACTTTTGACCGGTCAAAGGTCAAATTTTCGGAAAAATAGACTTTTTTCAACTTTCGGCGGCGATTGCGGCAAAACGGTGGGAGATATCGACTTGAAACCTTCACTATCGTGTTCCTTGATCAATTTTCTATCGTTTGGTATGTATTTCGTTTCCCTAGCTCTAAAAATGGCGCGTTGGGAGCGCCGGAAGTCGGCAAGGTCACAGTCGGCGGCAGAAATTCGAAAAATCAAAATTTAAATTTTTTAAATCTGATTGTATTTTTGGATTTGGGAGGTCCATTTGCTCCCTATATAAGCTAATATTGCTGCATATTCCCATTGAGGTGAGAAGAATTAGCAAAATAGTGGTTCGGGCGCTTTTCAAAAACAGTACCGGACGCTGTTCCTCATGTGACGTCATAGCTCCGTGACCTGACCTGACCCGGTCAAGTTCCTTATACCATATGATAGCCAATACTTGCCCCAACATGCATGGGAAGTTTCATCACGATCCATCAACCGATGTCCGTACCATCGGCAGGAAACCTCGGGCGTTGGCACTCAGTTTGTGAAAATCCGGCCGGAGGCTGTTCCCTTTGTGACGTCATAACTCCGTGACCTGACATGACCCGGTCAAATTTTTTTTTTTTTTTATCAAAAGATGCGCAAGGTTTGCCCCATAAGGTACCCAAAATTTGGCGGCGCTGCGCGCCGCCGTTTTTGCACTATTTCCGAAAAGCCTCAGGGGGGGGGGGGGTTGCACCAACCCCCCTCCCTACATGGGCGAGGGTTAAGACCCTGGAGTTGATCAATTTTACACCTACCCTTAAAATTGTATGGCCCTAACCCAAGTGACCTTTGACCTATTTCTCGAGACCATGTTTGTCCGGAATCGTGATTTGGCGTATGTCGGCTCACATTATCCACCCGTTTCCAGATTTGTTGTTGTTGTTGTTGTAAACGCTTACAGGTGCAATGATCTTTACGGGCCACTGCCGGCCACACGTGGTCAGGCGACTGCAGCACCGCTTACCGGTGTGATACTAGGTGTAACAAACAGGGAGCACAAGCGATCACACACTGTAAAAATATTCAGTACCCTATGCAAGGCTTTCTATAAGATGTCAAAAACCACTACCCATATCATGCTAAAAAAAAACTTCACATAGGTTGCTTACCAGCCTGCCTCCATATGCATACTCTTTAGACACCCTCGGTACACCCTTTGATGTCAGGCTATGGCGGTAATTTTACACCCTGGGGTGTAAATTCAGTGTTGGTTCACACCCCAATTCGTACTTAAATTAGTATCGTATAGGGTTGATGTCAAAAACCACTCTCTATATGGTTCTAAACAAAAAAGATACTTTCTGCAGAGCTGCCGGAAGTACCCCTTTAACACACCATCCGGTCAGCGAACACCTCAGAAATGCGCTCATATCGTCAGGTCAGGTCAGGTCAACTGGTAGGGGTTGTGACGGGTATTCGTAATACGTGTCAACCGCCTCTGACAGCTTCGTAACATGTTAAGAAAGCACCAAAACTACCTCGTAAATGTTCAAATGATTGCTAAATTCGAAATCAGCTCAAAAACTAGCCTAGAAACATGCAAAACTCGAAAAAGTGAACCGAGGTCACCAAAGGTCAATGACCTGACCTGACCTTCAGGTAACCTTGACATCCACCCTAATGCATGAGAGCAACATCAAATCTCATGTTTGAACGTTTGAAACCACGAAAAGCTTGCAAACACGCGGCTAATGCGAGCCGACATACGCCGAATCGCGATTCCGGCCAAACATGGTCTCGGAAAGTAGGTCACAGGTCAAAGGTCATTTGGGTCAGGGTCATTAAATTTTGAGGATATGTGTAAACTGATCAATGCGAGGGTACTGAAAATTTCGTCGCAATCGGCCGCTTTTTACGCGAATTATTCGCGAAAAACCTTGGGGGAGGCTGCATCAACCCCCCGTGCCGGCGAGGGTTAAAATTGGGTATCATCGGCTTCCTCTCGTGACGGGCAGCACGCTCGTTTTTCTGCGAAGCTCTACCTCGATCAGGGGCCAAACGCGAGGGGGTCGTACCAGCGCCCCCCCCTTGTGCCGTCGAAGGACACAAAATGGCCTGTGCGGGCGAGGGTTAAAATTCGGCATCATCGGCTTACTCTCGTCACGGGCAACCCGCTCACATTTTCTGTCATGCTCTAGCTCGATCAGGGCCGAACGGCAGGGGTGTCCATCCCCCGCCCTCCCCCTACACATTAAACACTGGAAAACGCCGCACACAGGCAAGGGATAAATGTCGTTCAAGTGTTTTTCTCATGTGAGATTGAGGCCCTCTCTAGGATTCGAAAGAATTCCCACGTCTCTGGATACTGAATCCATGGCCCTGTCCCCTTGGCTCCGGCTTGTTCTACCTCCTCAGTGGCAGCGCTGGCTTATTTGGAAGGGGTTTCCTCGGGTTGGGCACAAATAAGTACACACAAAAATATTACACACCTTGCACAATTTTCGACCCAAAGGCGCTAACTGCACGTTTGAATGAGTAAGTAGACGAACACAAATATAGCACTGGCTCGTTGTTCGGTGTATTCAGTACACACACTGTTGTCAGGTACACACGGCCTCAAGCGGACAGGTTTAAATAACCAGAAAGACTGTGCTGGCGGCATTTCCTTACACGTTGACGCCGCCCCATACTGGCAGGTCACATCATTCAGGTTCCTGATTGACATCTCCAGTAGGTGCTGACATCTAGTGGCCGTATCCGTAACCATACGACGGAGCCGAATAGCCGTAGCTGCGAGAGTACGAGTACGAAGGAGCGCTGTAGCCGTAGCCAGAGTGGCCGTAGCCAGAGCCGTGGCCAGAGTAGCCGTGGCCGTAGGAGGGACGGCTGTAGCCAGAGTAGCCGTAGCCGTGGCCGCGGTCGGAGCCGTAGCCATGGCCGTAGCCGTAGTCGCGGCCATAGCCATATCCATGGCCGTAATCGGAGCCGTGGCCGGAGTAGCCGTAGCTGGGACGCTCGTAGCCGTAGCTCTTGGTGTGGCCGTAGCCGTACGACGGGCGGGCGTAGCCGTAGCCAGAGCTGCCGTAGCCTGAGTGGCCGTAGGTAGAATGACCGTAGCCGTAGCTGGGCTTGAATCCGTAGCTGTAAACATAATGAAAATGGTCAATGCGGTGGGAAACGTATAAAATTATTGAAGGGAGTTTTAGTAACACTTATCGGAATTTTACAGGAGTTTCGGACGTAGAATGAAGTTTAAAATAAGAATAGCTACTTTTCGATTAATTGCAACCGATGCTGCTATATATATCGAACGAAATGCCTTCCACTTCTATTAAAAGCAATGTAATTTTTGGACTGCTTCCGTAATTAGAAATAATATTCCCTTTGAGTCAAATTTCCTCCCCGTCTAAACTTCAGCAAACGGGTGGTGACAGAAGGGCGTGTAAAACGGTAAATAAATGCTCTAAAAAAAGATTGTTTCGGGCGTACCTATCGTCGTGTCCGTATCCGTAGCTGGGTTTGCTGTAGGTCCTGGTGTACGAGTGGCTATGGCTGTAACTGGGGGCAGCATAACCGCCGTAGCCATAGCTGGGGAAAAAAGAGAAGAAAATTAAAGCAAAGTACAAAACCGATAAGTGGCTATTTTAAGAGTAAAATTTGGCATTTATTGGACAAAATTGGGCATTGGGCATTTAGGTTTTCAGAACAAAAAACAGGAAACACATTAGCTTCGACAACACAGGCGAGCATTACGCATGATAAATGACTACTAATCAATGTAACTCATCTCCGCCATACAAAAGCCAAACAAGTGACCACATTAATTTGATTATTACCACAACGTATGAAATTCACATCCTAGCATTATTGTAGTAAATCCATCACCATCGCTGATGTTCCAGCCATCAAAATGACACTGAATGGATAATAATTTAAATTACACAGTACACACA